TCATCGTCCGTTGCACGAACAGGAGGCGGAGCCTCATCTTCTGCCAGTCCCCGCAGCGTCTCTGACGCACACATTGGACAGACGTTGCTGCGTTGTTTCCAATTCATGAGACAGGGCAAATGAAAATGGTGCTTGCATTCCCCATACAACATGGGGTTCTCCTCCGTATATTCCTCCAGGCAAATGCAGCAAATTTCCTCTTCTTCGCTCTTTTCCGTGGCCGCCACAACCGCCTTTTCTTTACACACCTTCCCAAAAGAAGTTAAACTGCCGGCCGGTGTGGAATAACAGCATTCTCCATTAACAATGCCATCTCTGCCTCCTGACGAGGATGCCAATTTTGAGTCCATTAGGCGTGGGATCGTCTTTTCACTTGAAGTGCTGCTTGCCAAATGTTCCATCATCCCCAGCGCCAGCGGCTTAGAATCTAGTGGCTTCACCGGTTTTGAAACGCTACCTGCGCACGACTTCTCCATGGAATTGTCAGCCCTAGACGTTGCGTCAATGACAAGTTCCTTTTCATGCACCCGCAGAGAGACTAACGCCATGTCAGAGGCGTGCTCTCCTTTTGGAAGCAAAGTCTCACCTTCAGAAAAGCGTCCCAACGGCGCAGCAAAAACCTCACCTTCGCAGAGCGGCATTTGGCAGGACATTTGCCTGAACCTCGGTCAGCGGGACGGCAGAAAATGATAAAGACGAAAACCACTGAGAGAGAGAGAGAGACAACGGCACCGCAATTCTGTGACCCCCGCTAGCAAGCGTAACGGGCTGCAGAAATACGCGTCGACCTGCGTGAATCAATGCTTCATTTATACGGGAAGAAAATATTTACAACGCGTACGAAAGAAGAAAAAAAGACAAAAAAAAAAAAAGAGAAACCCAAAATGGTGATGGGAAAACACACAGACAGAAAAACATCATCTCCACATAAAAAAAAAAAAAAAAAAAAAACAGAGAAAAAAGAACAAAACATTTCATTTTTTACTTTTCTTCTTTACGGAAAAAGTGAAAAGGAAGGAAAAAAAAAAAAAAAAAAAAAGAGTGAGGAAAGAGAAAAAATTCCTGAAGGAAAGAAAGACTCAAACACCGTATATGTATGTATACTTCCTTTTTCCCTTTTTCACCCCTCCTGCTACCTTTGCATTCACGTCGTGGCCGACTTGAAACACAACAAAATGATGATCTCTGTTGTTGTTACTACTTTCTTCCTTAAATGATGATGGTCGGAAATAATTTTAAAAAATTAGCAGGCTCGCTATAATCCTTAACATCTCACACACCAAATTTTACGCTACAGACATGAGGCACGCATCCCTGTCTTCACGATCCCGTAGCGCTGCGACAATGGCAGATGTATCCAGGCAACCCATCTCACAGATAATCATGTCGATGAAAGCTGCGGGTGTGAGATCATACAAATAGCCGGAGGCAGAACTAGCACTTGACTGCATGGGCAGCCCATCATTGCTGCGGCCAAAAAGTTGTTCATTGATCTCACGATTCTGATGTCTTGGAG